TTGATGGATGGATGATGGATGGATGATTGATGGATGGATGATGGATGGATGATTGATGGATGGATGATGGATGGATGATGGATGAATTAATCAATAAAATTCAGAATATCTACTACTTGTTTCTAATTACAGGACACTTTTATATTTTAAATCTGTACAGACACACAAAATAAAAAAGTTTGCTGTAATTAGGAACACGGTTTGATTGAYTTTATAAACACAATGAACTTTATTAGGTTATAATTCAGAATAATAAACTTCCAGGATTCAGTCATTATCAGAACATTTTCACTGTTTATTTCTTTGAGTTGTTCATTAGTCCCAACCTGTCCTGGTCCTGTTGGTTCTGGTCCTGTTGGTTCTGGTCCTGTTGGTTCTGGTCCTGTTGGGGCTGAATGTAATTAAAAACCTTTATCTGAGGAGGAATCAGCAGAAAGAGGAACTTTATCTTCCTTGAATCTGGGTTTACACCCTGGTCTCAGAACTTTATCCTGAACTTCATCTGTTCTCTGATTCTGGGCTTTTGGTTCTGGTTCTGATGGCTAATATTTGGGTTCTGACCCGTCTCCTGCAGACATCGACGAGTGCCGGATCTCCCCGGACCTGTGTGGACAGGGCAGGTGTGTGAACACACCTGGAGACTTTGAGTGCGAGTGCTTCGAGGGCTACGAGAGCGGCTTCATGATGATGAAGAACTGCATGGGTGAGTAAAACCCCTCATCTGGACCCAGGAGACCAGTAAAACCCTCATCTGGACCCAGGAGACCAGTAAAACCCTCATCTGGACCCAGCAGACCAGCAAAACCTGGATCAGTCCTGCTCCACTTCTTTTATCTCAAATCATTTTGTTTTTTAAGTAATGAGAGAGAAAGTTGATCCTTTGAGCCCCTCCCAGACGCGCCCCATTAAACTGTCCATATCTGAGAACCGATCCAGACTTTAATAGTCTCCAGCTACAGGGAGGGTCCACCACACGGTCCCAGTGCTGGATCCAAACCCAGGCCTCATAAACCCCTGATGAGCTGGTTAAACAGACACGCCACTGAGCCCGATGATGTCATCTGATGTCAGCAGGCCGCCTTCATTGCTTCATCCATGTTTCTGAGGGAAAAGTCCCGTCTGGACCGTCCAAAAGTCCCTACAAAGACTCAGAACCAGGACGTTTGATTCTGTTTTAGCTGTTCATAAATCAAAYCTTYGGCTCATTCAGCAGATGGAAGCTGTGACGTTATTACTTTTCAACATATTTAACTTTATTTACRCAAACATCTTCAGTTTCACTTCTTTAAAATCTGCTTCAGCTGCTTTCTTCTGCCACTATTAGCCTTTAGCATTCAGCTAGTTCTTTGCTACTTTTACCAGCTCACTTTCAGCTTCTTAAGTAAAGTCCTTCAGCTCTCTGTTTCCAAGTTTTTATGTGATAAAAGTGATCAAATGATCAGAAGAGGATTAACCAGGAGCATCAGAGTGTTGAACCTGTCAGACTCAACATGTGACATCACATGATCGTCACATGGGTCATCACATGATCACCACATGGTCATCACATGATCGCCACATGATCGCCACATGATCGTCACATGATCGCCACATGATCGTCACATGATCGCAACATGATCGCCACATGATCATCACATGGTAGTCACATGATCGTCACATGATCACCACATGATCGTCACGTGATCGTCACATGATCGCCATGATAATCACATGGTAATCGCATGATCGCCACATGATTATCACATGGTAATCACATGATCGCCACATGATCGTCACATGATCGCCACATGATCGCCACATGATTGTCACATGGTAATCACATGATCGCCACATGATCGTCACATGATCGCCACATGATCATCACATGATTGTCACATGATCGCCACACGATCGTCTCAATCATCACATGATTGCCACATGACCGCCACATGATCGCTACATGATCGTCACATGATTATCACATGGTAATCACATGATCGCCACATGATCGCCACATGATCGTCACATGATCGCCACATGATCGTCACATGATCGCCACATGATCTCCACATGATGGTCACATGATCGCCACATGATCGTCACGTGATCGTCACGTGATCGCCACATGATCGCCACATGGTAGTCACATGATCGCCATATAATCATCACATGATCGCCACATGATCGTCACATGGTAGTCACATGTTAGTCACATGATCGCCACATGACCATCACATGACCACCACATGATCATCACATGATCGCCTCATGATCGTCGCATGTATGTCACATGATCGCCACATGATCGGCACATGATCGTCACGTGATTTTCACATGATCGCCACATGATCGTCACATGGTAGCCACATGATCACCACATGATCGTCACATGATCGCCACATGATCGTCACATGATCGCCACATGATCGTCACATGATCGCGTCACATGATCGCCACATGATCGTCACATGATCGCCACATGATCGTCACATGATCGCCACATGATCATCACAAGATCGTCACATGGTCGTCACATGGTCGCCACATGATTGCCACATGGTCGTCACATGATCGCCACATGATCGTCACATGAACGGCACATGAACGGCACATGATAGCCACATGATCGTCACATCGTGCCATGAACACCACATGATCGTCACATGAGCGTCACATGATCGCTACATGATCGTCACATGATCGCCACATGATCGTCACTTGAATGTCACATGATCACCACATGATCGTCACATGAACGCCACATGATCGCCACATGATTGTCACATGATCGCCACTTGATCGTCACATGATCATGATCGCCACATGATCACCACTTGATCGTCACATGATTGTCACATGATCGCCACATGATCGTCACATGAACAACACATGATCACCACATGATCACCAATCGCCACATGATATCACATGATCGTCACATGATTGGCACATGATCGCAACATGATCATCACATGGTCGTCACATGATCGTCACATGATCAACACATGATCGCCACATGATTAACACATGATCGCCACATGATCATCACATGATCGTCACATGATCATCACATGATCATCACATGATCGCCACATGATCGCCACATGATCGTCACATGATCGTCACATGATCGTCACATGATCTTCACATGATTGCCATATGATCATCACATGATCGCCACTTGATCGTCACATGATTGTCACGTGATCACCACATGATCGTCACATGATCATCACATGATCGTCACATGATTGCCACATGATCATCACATGATCATCACATGATCGCAACATGGTCATCACATGGTCATCACATGATCGTCACATGATCGTCACATGATCAACACATGATCGCAATCGCCACATGATCGTCACATGATCGCCACATGATCATCACATGATCGTCACATGATCGCCACATGATCGTCACATGATCGTCACATGATAGCAACATGGTATCACATAATGATCGTCACATGATCAACACATGATCGCCACATGATCGCCACATGATCAACACATGATCGCCACATGATCGCCACATGATCAACACATGATCGCCACATGATCGCCACATGATGGTCACGATAGTCACATGATGGTCATATGATCGTCACATGATGCCACATGATCATCACATGATGGTCACATGATGGTCACATGATGATCATACTGTCACATGTGCCACATGATGCCACATGATTGTCACATGATCGTCACATGATCTTCACATGATTGCCACTTGATCGTCACATGATTGTCACATGATTGTCACATGATCGCCACTTGATCGTCACATGATCGTCACATGATCTTCACATGTTGCCATGATCATCACATGATCGCCACTTGATCGTCACATGATTGTCACATGATCGTCACATGATTGTCACATGATCGCCACATGATCGTCAAATGATCATCATATGATCGTCACATGATTGCCACATGATCGTCACATGATCGTCACATGATTGCAACATGGTCATCACATGATCGTCACATGATCAACACATGATCGCCACACCAATCGCCACATGATGTCACATGATCGTCACATGATTGCCACATGATCGCCACATGATCGCCACATGATCGCCATATGATTGCCACATGATCGCCACATGATGTCACATGATCGCCACATGATGGTCACATGATCGCCACATGATCGTCACATGATCGTCACATAATCGCCACATGATCGCCACATGATAATCACATGATCGCCACATGATCGTCACATGATGTCACATGATGGTCATATGATTGTCACATGATGCCACATGATGGTCATATGATCGTCACATGATCGCCACATGATCGTCACATGATGGTCACGTGATGTCATATGATCGTCACATGATTGTTACATGATGCCACATGATGCCACACGATTGTCACATGATCGTCACATGATGCCACATGATCGTCACATGATCGCCACATGATTGTCACATGATCGCCACATGATCGTCACATGATCATCACATGATCATCACATGATTGTCACATGATCGCCACATGATCACATGATATCACATGATCATCACATGATCGCCACATGATCATCACATGATTATCACATGATCATCACATGATCGTCACATGATCGCCACATGATCATCACATGATTATCACATGATTATCACATGATCATCACATGATCATCACATGATCGTCACATGATCGCCACATGATCGCCACATGATCGCCACATGATTATCACATGATCATCACATGATCGCCACATGATCATCACATGATCATCACATGATTATCACATGATCATCACATGATCATCACATGATCGCCACATGATCATCACATGATCATCACATGATTATCACATGATCATCACATGATCATCACATGATCGCCACATGATCATCACA